GAAATGAAATGAAATGAAATGAAATAAGTGGAATCCGGCCCTGATCGTAGCCCATGCATCTTAGGGAGTACAAACTGTGGAAGATTGTAGCAAAAAAAGAGAAGAACAGAATAAAAATATGCACCTTATTAAGTACTTAAGTTAGGCTTTGTTTCAACAGGAGATGGAAACTACAGGGTTCCTTTAAACTTTACAGAGAAGGCAAAATTTGAGGAAGGATTGAAAAAGTAAGGGGAAATGCAAATGAAATCATTTTATGTAGATGGCCATGACCAGTGCTTCAAATGAGATTTATTTATATTAAGCAGCCTAGTGCTAGCTAAAAAGAGTGGAAATTCAGAGTTGTATTAATGCATGTGGTAGTACATGATAAATTCTGACTTTCTTTTAGAGTGTAGCTTTTTCCACCCACCACACCGAACATCTTAAGCCATAGACAATCCCATTAGTATTTCTTCACTCATTCAGGACGCAGGAAAAGCTAAGATGTTTTAAACTATCTTGGCATTTTTGCTGCTTGCAGCAGAATCTATTATTGCTAGATTTTGGGGAAAGAGCTGCTATGCTAACATAAAATCTCTGAAAAAAGTTTGGGAAACTTATGATAATGAAAAAGCTCTCATATCAAATCAAAGTTGCCAAAGGACAGAGGAAGTTTTGTTAACATTACGCTATCCGTAAAACTTTACAGAAAGAAGAATACAGACATAAGCAAAATGCAATTTTTTTTTCTTACTAAAAGATAATCATGGAGTTCATAGGGAATTCTGATAAGGTGGTAAATGTATTGTCTTGTTATTTAAGAGAGGCAAAAATACAGTTTGCGTCTTTGGTTTTCAGAGTTCCTTTTAAAGTAATAGCTGTGTGAGACTTCAGTTTTCATTTCATATAGATTCCACACTTTATTTGATGGAAGCTGTTGTAAAGGTTTTTCTTCATGGGAGACTTAAACTTCTTTTTGTGCTTATAGAAGCAAAATGCCCAAAGAAGCACTGTGGCATATAGGCATCATTGAGAATTCTGCTAAAATGTTCTTTTACCAATGGGAAATATTGTCCATATTCTCTGTTATTCTCTGAGTATCATCAGTTACAAGTAGTCATTGACTTGCAGCCACAATTGAGCCAAAAAATTCTGTTACTAAGCAAGGTAATTGTTCAGTGAATTTTGCCCCCATTTAACAACCTTTCTTGCCACAGTGGTTGAGTGAATCACTGCAGTTGTTAAGTTAGCAATGTGAATCTGCCTTCCCCATTGACTTTGCTTGTCAGACAGTGATCACATGACCCCAGGATACTGCAACCATCATAAATGCATGCCAGTTGCCAAGCGTCCAAATATTGATCATGTGCCCATGGGGATCCTGCAACGGTTGCAAAATCGGTCATAAATC